ATTCCTGCTCCCTCCAGGGAAGAAGCGAGGAGCTGACCAGTAGACCAGCCTGGGACTCTGTGGTCAGGCTCTGCCTGGGGAGTAGGATCCCCCGCCCCACCCTGTCAGGCCCTTCGCCTGTTCTGCCACATTCAGGAATGACACAACAGCACCTCGGGGATCGCCCACAGAGCAGTTGTCTCTTCTCTCAGAGCTGAGCATTAAAAGCTTTGGGCAGAGGGCCAGTAGTTGGCATAGCAGTTACAGTGTGGGCCTCCCCTATGGACGGCCGCAGTTGGAATCCTGAACCTGTTGGCATGAAGAGTACGCCGGGCGTGTGCGTGCGCAAGACCCCGGGGGAGAATGGAAGAGAGGATTGCGGCAGGCCATCCCCCTGGGAGTGATCTCTCACTTTCCCTCTCACTGTCTCTGGGGAACGCACCTGTCCTAAGGCAAAAACCTTTTAAAAAGAGAGAGAGAGAGAGAGAGAGAGAGAGAGAGACAGATTTGGGACGAGTCAGGGCTCAGAGGATCTGAACACACAGCCCAGCAAGCCTGCAGAGCCGGGCGCTCAGAGGCCGGCATAGACCTGGCGTGGGCCCAGCCACGGCGCGGTCCATGGTTGCTGGAACCCAGAGCTGTTCCTGTGGAAGCGGTCTGTTCCATGTGTCGGTGAGAAGCCGGCACACGAGGTCTCTGTCGCCCCGAGACTACTTACGTCCTTGAGGGTGATGATGTTGGGGTGCTGCCCGTACCGCAGGAGGATCTCGATCTCCTCCGAGGGGTCCCTCTTGCTCTTATCGATGATCTGGAAAGGCCAGAGGGCAGGCGTGATGGTGAGTGGTCTGCCGAGACGCTCAGTCATGCCCGGCCTTGCCTGGTGTGACCACATGTCCCCTCCCGTCCAGCAAAGATAACTCCAGTCCTGGCCAGTCCCGCCTGCCCCAGCCAGGCTAAGGCTTACATGGAACACAGGGCCCCAGCCAGTCCCGCCTGCCCCAGCCAGGCTAAGACTTTCCCGCCTGCCCCAGCCAGTCTAAGACTAACATGGAACACAGGGGCCCAGCCAGTCCTGCCTGCCCCAGCCAGGCTAAGGCTTACATGGAACACAGGGCCCCAGCCAGTCCCGCCTGCCCCAGCTAGGCCAAGACTTACATGGAACACAGGGCCCCAGCCCCCTCCAGCACGCACTCAGATTGCTTTGAGGTTGCATGGAGAAGGTAGGGTGGAGGCTCTCGTGGCTCCTCCTGAGCGTGTGGGAGGCCAACTCGGGTGGCAACCTGGGCTCTCCGTTATTCCATCCCAAAGAGGCATGTGGCTGCTGTGCACTTCTGCCCTCATGGCTGAGCCCCACATCAGCAGCAATGCGAGCCAGAGCGCATGGGTCTCATTGGAGACGCTGGGGTGGCCGGGAGGGCAGAGGGACGCAGGCCCGGGTGTGCAGCGCTGTGTCTGTCCTGGCCAGCACTGGCAGCTGATGTCTGGTCCCCCACGACAACCAGTGGCTCCCATTCTCAGGGTGTCAGGGAGTGACCCTGCCTTTGAGACAAGTCGCTGTACCTCGGTAGGCGCTGTCATTGTACCCTTGCCCAGCTCTGCAGGGGGGGCGGGGGGACGCGCGCCATTCCTGGGGAATCGACAACTCGCAGAAGAGGCGAAGAGACTAGAAGCCCGAGGGGCTTGTCCTATGCCTGGGCACCGGCCCCACCCAGTGCCAACTCCACCATCTGGAGACGTGTGGCCGCGGCGCACCCGGGGACACGGCGCTTCCCTCCCGGTCTCCAGCAGGTCAGACCTTGCAGAGCGCCACAACACGCCTTCTTTTCTCCCAGGGACCCAGAGCTCAGGCCCTCGGCCCTAATCACCAGCCCTCCCTGTCACCGTCACGCGCCACAGTGCCAGCCCTTCTCTGCTAGTTTTAAGGGTGCCCGCCATGCCCACTGTTGCTCTGGCCACACTGAGCAAGCCCCGGGCATGCACTGCCACATGGGTAAGGGCAGGGCTCGCCTCCTGGTCGCGGACTCCTCTCTCCTGCCACGTCTGATCCACTGTTTCGCTGGGGCATGGGAGCTGCCTCTAGGGGGAGCCTGAGTAGGCCACAGCCCCCTGGCGCCAAGCTCCCCAGGTCTTTCTCTGCGATCTGAGGGTGTAAAACACACTTGTAGATTTAAAACATCCAGGAGATTATTTTTGCAAGTATAGTTTCATGCTAAAAGTGACATATTCTTAGCACGAGTCTGCTCGTCAACCTCACGAAGGGACAGGATGCAGGATAAACAAGGCAGGGACGCCTCTGTTCCACTGGTAAGCACTGTCTTCAGGCCACACGGAAGGGATACAGCAGGACAGGCAGCTGCGTTCAGGAGCTCAGGTGTGTAGGAATGGGGAAAAGACGGTGCATAGACACGTCTGCTTCCTTGTCGATGCGTGACACATCCTGGAGGGGACAGGACAAGTGGGTAACGCGGCTTCCTGTGGGAGGGGCTGGGCGGCGGGCTGTGGGAGGTCTTGCTGTTTTTCTGTGCATAGTTTTAAAATTCTGCACCACGTGAATATGTTATTTACTCGAAAACTGAAATACAAAACTTTCAAAGATGTTCCATAAAGCTAAAGCATGAGAACAATACGACCCTCACTCTGTAAGCCTGGCAAGGCTGGCTGGCCGCTGGTCGCTGGCCCCAGAGCCGGTGCCCTGCTGTCTGTTCTTCTGCAGGTGGTCTTAGGAAAACCTCAGACTCACACAATCGGTGTTTGTAAACAACCTGTCTTTAAAGAACTGAGCACCTTAACATCTCACTTTTGCAAACATCTTAAGAGTGTCAAAGTCAACTGCACGTGCAAATGTGAGCTGCACTGTTTTAACACGCGCGGCCACTGTTCAATTCGCTACGCGGATACACGGCTGAGGACGTTCGTTTCTTAGATTTATTTTTACCATTAAATCAAGTTGGGCCAGTAGGTATTATGGAGACTAGGCAGCTGACCCCACACGATTGACTACATGGTTTGACTCCTGGACCTGGCAGGTTGAAAAACACACCAGGCACGTGTGTGTGTGTGTGTGTGTGTGGCCCAAATCCCAAGAGAACGGAGCAGGAAATGTGGTGTGGTCACCCCGGAGGCGATTGGCCCGCCCCGTCAGGCTGTGCGGAGCACACACTCCCTATGGAAAAACCTGACAGCAGCAGCAAAAGATGTCTGTTAATTTCTCCCGAGTGAGACAGAGAGAGACGTTCCCCAGCAGGGAGAGGTGAGCTGGCCGAGCGGGCAGCGTCTGAGCCACTGCAGTCGGGGCAGAGGTGGAAACGCGAGGAATGGGCCGTCAGTGACCACCCACGGACGATCTTCTCTTCGGGGATGGTGCTTGGGACCGACATTACCAGGTTTGCTTCTAGTCGGAGCCAGGCCCTCGCTCTGAGACTAGCACGTCGTCCGCTCTTCACCCCGGAGAACGAGGGGGCGGGTCTCAGCGAGCGGCTGGGCACAAACCTCCTCTCCTCCTGGGGGTACCGAAATCATCTCCACGGGCCACCACGAAGGCGTGAAAGGGACACGCTGGCCGCTGTCAGTGTTCTGATTCCCATCTGGCAACAGCGTGTCAGAGGACACCCACGGACGGGACCCTCCTCAGCCAGCTGCCCGCCCTGGCCGTAAGCAAGCTATGTGTGGAGTCGCCGAACAACCACAGGTGCGTTTTCCCTCTCCCCGGAGATGTTCGGCGTCTGGGTACACGTGGAACGAGTCTGGCTTCAATGGCAGACGGTTTTTCTCAGTGGGTGCCACAGAAAGGGACATTGCGGACGCGTGCTTACCCCGGCGGCCGAGGATGGTCGTGGAGAGCCCTCACCACCTCCGTGTGGATGTTGAGAACGTGTCCTTACCCCGGCGGCCGAGGATGGTCGCGGCGAGCCCTCATCCCCGCCGCGTGCTCCCTGGTCCTCCGGTCTTTGTGCCCCTCCCTCATGTTCCTCATCTCCGTGTCTCTCCAGGGCTGGAGATGTCCCTCTGGGCCCCCGAGCCACTCCCGGTGGGCTTGGAGGGAGGAAGGAAGCGAGCCGTGAGCATGCCCGGCGAGCCACTCAGAGCAGCGTGGTTCCTCCCGCTCGCAGACCAAGCTCGGGTTTCAAAGCCGGCAGGGCATGAACGCACGTGTGGAATTTCACAGACATAGAAGTACGGCTCCAGTTCTTCTCTTGGAAAAAACGTTAAATTTCCACGCCAATCAGTTCTCCTTCTAAAAATAAGCCCTAATTATGCCAAGCGTCTGTCTTCATTTCACTTCTTTTCTGGTTGACAAATTGCATACACAGTATGAAAATGAGCCATGCTAACGTGATTTTAAATGGTCTGACATGAGTACAAATTGGAGCTCCTCGAAGGAGCTTCCCGGCTCCAGTCGTGGGTACGATGGCCACGCTTCCTTACAGAATCAGGACGCGTGGGCAGCTCAGTCCCACGTGGCTGATGACACGGTTCCAGGGTTAGACCCAGTGGCTTGACAAACACACTGGGCACATGTGTGTGTGCCTAAAATCTTGCCAGGAGGGAGCGGTGGAGGAGAGGGGTCGTGGTGAGACCTCCCCATGGGTGCTTCTCCTCCCTTTCTCTGTCTCTCTCTCTCTGAAGAACATGTTTGCCTTTTGGCAAAAACAACAACAACAAACGGGGTGGCTCTCATACAATCTTAAGACCTCCCTTTATTTTTATCTGACTCCACTGCTAAAGCAAATTGAGGTCCCCCGATGGTGTAGATGCACACCTGCAGAGGTGCGGGGCCTCCTCAGGCACGAGCTTAGCCTCTGGCGCTCAGCCATGCCCGGCGTGCACCCACCTTCTGTCAAAGCTTGGACCAACAAGGGGCCCAGTGAGCTGCTGGTGGGGGTGCCTCGGCCCAAGCACGTGCGTTTAAGGATGAAGGGGCCGAGAGAGAAAGAAGGAACAGCTCATAGTTTTCAGGTTCCTCCCCTGCGGAGTCCAGGTGACCGCTCAGACCCCTGGACGAGTGGAGGGTGAGTTCCCGGGAGCAGGTGTGCAGTCTTGTCTAGAACCCATACCACGTGTGCTGCAGAGTCCAACCAAGACCAGGCTGGAGGCACGATACCCAGGCCGTCACTAGAGCCCCACTGAGCAATTCTGCTGTAAGCCCTGATTAGAAATTGCAGCCTGGGACCAGCAGATGGAGTAATGGTTATGTTGCTGGACCCCCACGTAGTTAATCACGGTTCGAATCCCAGACTTGGTAACTTCTAACTCATGCCGGGCACGTGTGCGTGTGTGCGTGCGTGCCCCAAATCCTGAGAAAATGGAGGAGAAGGGATAGTAGTGTGGCCATCCCCCGAGAGATTTCTCGCTTTCTGTCTCCCTGTCTCTGTCTGGTGAGCACGAAAAAAAAAAAAAAAAAAAAGAGAGAGAGAGAGAGAGAGAGAGAGAGAGCAGAGCCCAGTCTGAAGGGAAGCAGATGCTGCAGTCTCCGTTGGGTTAACAGCCCTGGCACTGGTAAGTGAGAACCAGAGGACGAGAAGCCTCCCCCGGCAGCCACTACGTGGCAACGGCATCCTGCATGCCAGCCTTTCGATGCCGGACGGCAGTGACAGCCCAGCATGCCCGCTGTCCTGGAGCTGGCAGCACCCCACTACTGGCGCCTGGCAGAGACTCAGAGTGGGCGGGGGACAGCTCTAGTGTGGCCAGCGGAGGCCGCAGGTGGGTCTGCTGGAGGGGCTGTCCTGGGGGCCGGTGGGGGAGCCAGTGGTCAGCGACCCATGGGCTGGAAGGGGGCGAGTCTGCTTTCTCTAGTTGGCTTTAAGTTGG